CACTGGTCCTGAAGCGATCATCCGTCCTGTATTCCCTGTGTTTCCAGTTCCTATCTGTACCAGTGTACATCCTCTGGTCTAGCCAGATTTGTAAGGTAGAATTGGGATCATGATAGTGGTGGGAAGGAAGCATTCAGGAACCAGAGGAAAGCTGCATGCTTCATCATCTACACTGCATCCTTGCACCCTCCCCCTGTGACCGTCCGCAAGGAATGTGCAGTTGCCCACAGATGGGCCCTGGGTCTCCACCCCGCACTCCCTGTCATTTACAATGATATGATTTTTTGTTCTGATGATGCCTGATACCTGATCACTTCAATACCTCGTGATCACACAGGCTGGTGTGCTTCTTCCATGTGAGCTTTGTTGCTTCTGAGCTAGATGGCCGCTTGTTTACATTCAAGCCTTTAAGACCCCAGATGCTCTATCTTTCGACAGCATGGCACCATTGGTCAAGAAATTTAAAAAAAAATTTTATCTGTGACTTATAAAACAAGTCATTACTTTGTACTGATATTTGTTTACCTAGAATAATTATATGGAGGACCCAATCTTTTAATTCTCCTAGCAAGTTTTCAAGACTGGTATTTCCATTTCTGTTCACAGATGAGCAATGAAGGCTCTAGGAGGTCATACAACCTGCCTATGGCCACAGAATTATGATCGGTCAGTAGAATAACAGGGCGATAACCTAGGCTTCTTCCTGCTTACTTTGCGATCTCCACGTGGTGTCTATTTTTGGCATTAATAATGTTTTAATATACTCCGCCCCCCCAGTGTTATTCACGTAAATCCTTTATGAACCACTAATGTGAAACACTTCTGATTCAATAATGTCAGCGTAGCAGAGGACATCTACATCCTGAGAGCACTTGGGGAAAAGGTGGGTGGATGAAACCCAAAGACAATAACATTAATTAGAGCTCAATTGAGACACCCTGGTGACATAGTGGTTACATATTGGGCTGCTAAGCACAAGGCCAGCAGTTCAAAGCCACGGCCAGGCTCCTCAGATGAAAGATGAGGCTTTCTACTCCTGTGAAGCGTTACAGTCACGGGAGGCAATTCTATTCTCTCCTCTAGGGTCACTGTGAGTCAGAAGTGACTTGATGGCAGTGTGTTTTATTAGGTGCATCCCCGTGAAGTAACAGCACGGTCAAATGTTCCCCTCTCTGGGACTACAGAGACCACCGACTGCTCAACTCTTTCACGGGGCTCACCAGATGGGACCCAGAGCAGTTATGTGATTTGCCACCAGGTACACACCTGGGACTAGCACCTATTTCTTTGAGTTCATTGTACAAGGGACTTTCTGCCAAATTACTCTGGCTCTCCTCAGGCATAAAGCCGAGTTTGGAGGTCAAGGCAGGAGGAGCATGAATCAGATGTGGAAAGACATGACTGTGCCATTTTCTCGATTGGGTCTTCTTCTCAAGCATTTCCTGACCATCTCCCTACTGTTATCAACCGCTTACAGATCTTAGAGACAGAATCAGAGCACACAGATAATACCTTCTGGGACCAATGGAGGAGCTTCATCGAAAGTTCACCTGGCTTTACTCAGAATATTCAGTTAGTTTGACGATTCTGATTCCGTGGGCTTAAGGTTCTATTACAGGTACATTGAGAACCACACTTAAAATTGATGATACTTTTGCTTTTGCTTATACTTCACTCATCAATATGAAGCTTAATGCTAGTTCTTGTTTAATTTTTCTTTGTAGCAGTTCTAATTTTATTTAAGTGTTGCGTTAATGTCTTAGAAAGCCCACCTTTGCCTGGAGGACAACAGAACAAAAGCATTGGAAAAACCAGATCATCATTTGTCACAACGTGTCCTGGCCAGTTAACTATTTTTCAGCTCTGCACGGCCAGGCTGAGGGTAAACAGATTCTCCCAGTAAGTGTGCAGCGCATGAAGGAAGACAATGGCAAACATAGAAAGATACTTAAAAGTAATTTGGCTACTTGTCTTTGACTAGATAGCCCGGAGGATAAAGGTAGCAATTGAAACCATCCAAAGTCCTAAACCTTGATAATATACTTCCACCTAATACAGTTGTGTAGGAAAAGGCTTGCTTCTCCTTGGTAGCGTAGGTTTTAACTGAAGTTGGAATCAGTTTATATATTGTGCATGGATTTAGGTGGTGGAAAACTTAATCTCTTGCAGACAGGGAAAGAAAATACCAGAGTAAGAAACAGGCATACATCATTCAAATTTTTATATCTTGAAAGCAGAAACAAGAAATAGAAAACCAATTAAGCCAAGCAGTCCACAGGAGCGGTACAGTGGGTGGGGAAAGGGTGCCAAGAGTTGGGCAGCCAAAAGCCAGATCCATTGCAAATTCTTCAGGAAGCAGTGAATGTGAGAGGGCAAGGCAGGCTGGCAGACAGAGCAGCTGTGTGTCCTTCCATTGCAACAGGAAGGCTAAAGCGAAGCATGAGATTCTGTGCTGCACACTCAGAAATGCTTCCTCCTGGACTGGGCTGGCTGCATCCTCTGTGCAGTACTGGTGAGCTTTCAGCTAGGGTGGCTTCAATCCCCAAAGAGATCCACAGACTGAGAAAATATGGAGAAGAAAAGGCCAAATGTTGAAGGTACCGGAGGAACCAACGTACAGCAAAGGGGTATTGCTAAGCCGTGGAAGGAGCAGTGAAGTGACGCAGGACAGATTACGCAGCTATCACGAAAATGTCCCTGGATGAAATGTTGAATAAATGTCTCCTGATGCTTTATAAATACATGTCCTTTGACATGGAGGAGAAGTATGGATTTAAAAACAAACACAGGAGTGTAACACGTTCTCTGATGAACAGAATTCTCTTTCCTCATTCATGAATTACTAGAGTAACATTTTTTTAATTGGAAAAAAAACACAATAAAGCAAAGTGAACAAACTTTAAAAACTATCAACAAATATATTTATTGTGGTGGCTTTCCCCCTACTAGATACACCTTGTTAGAAAGTAGTGTCCCTTTTAGTCCCTGGCGGACCATAAAGCATAAAATAAGGCTGGTTTTCTTTCATTGAGAGAGAAAGGAAACACATGACTTTGCAAATACGTTGTACTTCCCTTGCTCTAATTTGTTTTGTTTTGTTAAAGCAATTAGAGTTTTTTCCCTTTATTTTTTTGGACATATCTTTTGGGCACATGTTTACAAATGTATAACCCAAGGGGTAGCAGAGGCTGGACCACACAGTGCTGACATAAATCGGAGCCCTGTTAAAGGTAATCACAACCCTTCACAGTTCGGTAAAACACAAAAATAATCTCCAAACTAAGACTTCTTCCACATTTGCCTTTTTCCAATCCCATACAGTATATTCAGCTCTGGGACACACTTTCGCATTTCTTGCAGAAGTACAGGATGAAGGCAATCGAATCAACCTTTACGAAGTTGTTTCTGTGATGATAAATCTTATGATGCCAGGCCCTAATTCTGAGCGCTCTCTAGATCGCATGGACAAAACAACACTGTCCCTTGAAAGACGTTTCTCTTCCCTGATCTCCTATCTGCTTTGAAGGGATACTGCCTCATTGAATTTGTAGAACTATCTTTTCTTGCTTAAAACAATAGCTTGCAAAAAAATATTTCTAAAGGAAAAAGATGTTGCTTCTCCAGATGTCATCATTATGCTGTTACATCATGCAGCCTATAATAAGTATGTACAAATTTCTTGTCTCTTAACAGCGCACAGAAGCATGTATGATAACCATCTGAAAGTACCCCTTCTTTAAACTTTCAGCTCTTTGTTGTTAACTATGCTTGTACGAAGAACATAGCAACTATCTGGAATGTTGTTTAGACTGAGCAGTAACTGATAACGTCCATTTGTGGTCCTAACGGCTAGAGCACCTGCCCTGGGCCTCTGGCTGAGATAGCAGCATCACAAGTCTACAACAACCTCATGGGACCCTCTAGTGTACAGTGCCGACTGATACCGATTTCTGTTGTTTATCTTGGACTTTTCGCTTCTTCTGCTGCAGCTTGTCTTTGCTTTCTCGTTGTTCTGGAGTTTCTCTGCTGGGCTCCAGACCTTTATTGTCAGGTACTGCTTCTTTATTTTCTTCTTTATGAAGTTTTTTCCTTTTCCTCTCCCTTCCCTTTTTTCCTGAAATGAAAGGATACTCCATTAAAATATATATTTAATTAGGCTCTTTTTGGTTACAGGAATCAAATATGTACTATTTAAGTCATTCATTCAACTACTCTTTATTAAGAGTAGTTTCAAATGTGCTTGACACAATGGATGTATGTGTGGATTGTGATAAGAGTTGTATGAGCCCCCAATAAAACGATTAAACAAATTAAAAAAGAGTAGTTTTATTAAGGTTTTTATGATATTTCAAGAAATTGCAACATGAAACACAGACAAACTATCATGATGCAATTAATATATGATTGTTCCGAATAGTAGCGATCTGTATTCTTACAAGTTTAAAATTTTATATATATGTATACACTTTCATATGAATATATATTTAATAGAGAATTGTGAGTATACTTTTCATCTATTTGATCTGGCCTCTGTTTGAGGCACCATTTTGCAGGAAACATTTCCCAAGTCGCAGCAACACCTTTGCAATTTGCTAGTATTTCTGGATGCCATCTACTAGAAGAGCATTGATTTGAATAGCAAACGTGGAAATCACAATTGCTGGTGGACACTAGGATAAATATACTCTATTTGAACACAAATATTTTGATATTAAAATTATATACTTTGTATCTTCTTTATATGCTTAAGTGGTGTTACTTACCAGTAACTTCCCAGTAACCCAATGGTATAAGCTCCTACCACCACCCATCTAGTACTTTGTTGTACCATGGCTGCTTGCACGTTTTTATGATGCTAGAATCTATGCCACCACTATTTCAAATACTAGCAAGTTCACTCATGCTAGACACGTTTCAGTGGTGCTTCTAATCTAAGAGAGACTAAAATGAACTAGGAACAAAGACCTAATGGTCTACTTCTGAAAACCAGCCAATGAAACCTGTGGGACTTGATTTGGACATATCACCAAGACGGAGCAATTGCTCGAGGACACCAGGTGCAGTGGAGGGCAGGGCAAGGGAAACCCTTGATGTGAGGATGCAGCACAGTAACTGCAATGAGAGACTTGAACATACAATTATGAAGATGACTTAGGGCCAGGTGATGTTTCAAAGATGGACATGAGTCAAGGTCGGCTTGGTGACATGTATCTGTCTGCCTGTCTACCTTCCATCTGATCGACAGACTGACCTACTGAGTTAGTTTATTGTGCCAACCTGGCCGATAAACACACGTGGGATTAATTGAAGGGCGGAGGGATAAATGGCTCAGTGAGCCTCGCCTTTCGAGTTCTTGGGTCTCTTGCTTTGTGATGGTCAGACCAGGGTGCAGCTGCCTTAGCCAGTTCCCTAATTCAGCTGGCAAGACTGACTTCCTGCAAGACATCCCCAAGGAGAAGCCGCATGGACCTACCCCAGTGTAGCCCTGGGTGCTGGAGCAGCCGTGTGGAGACCCCTGCCAGCGCTGAGATGGTTACACGTTCACTGAGTCGGCTTTCCTCCTGCAGTCGGCATTATTGCCGTGTGTTTAGTGAGAAGGAGGAGGACTTTGTGGATTGGTGTCAGACATATGGGTTAATGTTGGACTCGTAGGGTTGGGCAGCACTAGGTTGGGATGTTTTCTTGATGTGCACTGAACACACTTATACATGAATTTCTGTGGATTTGTTTCTCTAATATACCCAGACGAACACACCTACCTACCTAATAGGGCAAAGACTGTCTTTCTATTAATTAAATGAACAGATTTATTAAATATATACTGGATTACATGTAGGTCCCGACTTTGAACTAGATTTGAAATATAGATTTAATTCAGATTCACATTATAAGGCATCTCAAAAAGTAGAGTCGACATCCCTTTAAAGCAGCAGTTCTCAACCTGTGGGTCGTGATCCCTTTGGGGGCCAAACGACCGTTTCACAGGGGTTGCCAGATACATAACAGTAACAAAATTACAGTTATGAAGTAGCAGCAAAAATAATTTTATGGTTGGGTGGTCACTACAACATGAGGAACTGTATGAAAGGGTTGTGGCATTAGGAAGGTTGAGAACCACTGCTTTAAAGGTTTTGAGGTGGGAATTCATCTTGCAAGGTAGAAAGCGGTCAGGGCACAGAACTCAATTTTATTCTATTGGCATGTAGAGCAGGGGTCCTCAAACTTTTTAAACAGGGGGCCAGTGCACTGTCCCTCAGACCGTTGGAGGGCTGGACTATAGTTTAAAAAAATAACTATGAACAAATTCCAATGCACACTGCACTTTTTTTTTTTTTAAGGTGGAGACAGACCCAGTCATGGACATGGCGGCCTGCTGGGTCTCCTTGCTTTATTAGTTTCCAGCCGATCAGTTCAGAAAGTTGGAGAGGGTGAGGCTGCCACCAGGAGCTCTGGATGTACTCTCCTGGGGCCGGCTTGGCAGGTACAGACTATGGGACAAGACCTCCCAGGCCCCACGGGGACTGGTAGGAAGACCATGGATCAGTGGCTGCTGTCCCACACAGATGGAGACCTGGGACTCGGGTTGTGCCATGGGCTTGCATGCCCCAGCAGGTCACAGGCCATCAGTGCCCTGGTGAGCCTGGAAGGATTTGACCAGAGCAATTCATGCAGGGACCGGGCTGGAGCCACCGACTGGGACATGGCCTTGTAGTGGTTGCATCTACTCACACAACTTAGGGGGTCAGCACGGGCCCTGGTGAGGGCTGGAGCCCCTTTGGGAATTGGGGCTCATAGGGGTGAGGCCAGATAGGCAGGGAGGGGCCGCTAGGCTGAGGAGAGAAGCCAAGGGTGTTATGTCTTTCAAGACAGACACCTCAAGACCAGAGTCCCAGCCTCGAGCCTGGAGGCCAAGATGAACCAGCCCTCGCCCCATCCTGGCACAGGGGGGTAGGGTCCTCAGGAAACACCGCCCCCCACCCCCCATGCAGCCATCCCTGCCTGAAGGTCAGTAGGCTGTAGTTCTAAAGGGGGGTGACCAATGCCTGTGGCTGCTTGGGTTGGGCTGTCTGCTTACTTCCCCTGAGAGGCAGATTTGTTACCTTTAGGGATGAACTTCAGGGAGCTGCTGAATATTCAGAAGCGAGACTGCCCCCGCTTGGGGCCATCATTGAGGAACTCGTGCCCAAGCCTATGGCCGCATTTACCGCAGGACACCTTAAAGGGAGCAGGCTGATTACGCTGTGGCCGTTTGGCCATGCTATCATCGTGGATGGTCTCCGTGAGGGCTGGCCACGGCCACCAGTGCTCATACTTGGAGCGGCTGCAGAACAGCACGTAGCCGCACTTGGCACTCATGTAGACAGCGGGTTCAAAGTGATTCTGGAAAACCTCACCCCGGAGAAGCTGCAGAAAGACATAGTGCTACCAGGTTCCCATCCCGCTCTCACTCTCCGGCAGCTCCGAGTGCACCGACCCCACCACACATAGCTTATTTTGAAGTAAAAAAACAAAATGGCCAAAAACACCCGGCGGGCAGGATAAATGTCCTCCGCGGGCCGCATGTGGCCCGCGGGCCCTAGTTTGAGGACCCCTGATGTAGAGGAACAGACTAATGCAGTCAAAATATTTGTGTTTGGTATCAGATTGGATACACAATTTAAATTCATGTCTCTATAGCAAATGAACGTGATGTTTTATCACGTAAATATTTTACATGTGAAATCTAACATGTGAAATACTTCTTGAGGGCATGTTTTTGGACACACCCAGTGATACATACCTCAGTATGAGGAATTATTGGTGTAAAACAAAATAACAGGCAATGAAAACAGAACCAACTCTTCCTTGATGTTGGATAAACTTTGATAATGTGCATTCCCACATCCTGAGTCTGATAATATTTGAAATTACCCTCTGTTTACAATGAAGTCACTTTAAGCAAAGTCTTTTTGCTAAAATTGTTTGCCTGGGAGAACAAAAATATTTTCATGTCCCTAAACAGGCTGAAAATATTGAATTCAGTGGTTTGGCTTTCTGTTTCCTGACCTTTGGTAATGGAATCCTAGAGAGTAGAATTATTAATACTACACAAATATATTAAGCCAATACAGTTTCCTTGGATTGAAGGTTATATGCTAACAAGGCTAGTGTTATTATAAGATTATGTTTATAAGGCCATCCCGTTTACTTATGAAAACTTGCCTTGTTGGGCTCAATATAAAACACCTCCAAAATCTGAACTCTAGTGGGGACCCCTACCAAGGATAGGCAAGTATCAGTTATGGATATGTAGCAGAAACGAAAATGTTAGAGTTGACTATTGGGCCTAGGAGTCCTGGTCGTGTAGTAGTTACGGGTTGGGCTGCTAGCTGCAAAGTCAGCAGTTCAAAACTATCAGCCCTTCCCAGGGAGAAAGAAGGGGCTTTATACTCCGATGGAGAGGTGTGATCTCAGAAACTCAGTGGCATTTCTACTCTGTTCTCTCTGGCTGTTATGAGTTGGCATGGGCTCTATGGCAGTGAGTTATTAATTTTAAAAAAAATCATTTTATTGGGGGCTCCTACAGCTCTTATAACAATCCATACATCCATTGGAGTTATTATGCTTAAAACTGTATATTCGTACACGGATTCACCGATTTCACTATTCTTTTCACTTCTCCAAATATTTCTGGGTTGATCCAGATTTCCACAGAAAGATTAGAGACCTTAATTTATTTTATTTATTTTCTTTTTCCCATCCTGGTTTTAAAGATTATGTAATTCAAGTGCTGATTTAAACTTGAAAGCTTAGAGCAGAAAAATTAAGAGCAAATTTACCTTCGGAATAGATAGCATACTTTTTTAGCTTATAAAGTTCAAAATGTTGGCTTTCATGTTAGTGCTTGGTTTGCAGAGGGAGGTGGCTGCAAAGTTAGGTTATATAATATTTCCATTCAGAGTTGCATTTTGGAGGTGTTCAAGTTCAAGCTCTGAAAAATTGTCAGGGAGAATCATTCCAAAGTTGTGTAAAAACTACTGACACCACACAAAATGTTGTTTTTATGGAAACCATCCAGGAGTTTAGTGTTAGACATCGTTCTCTTGATGATAGTCTGACATTTTACAGCTGTGA